GTAATATATTTAATACAGAGTATGAAATAAAAAATAATTTAAAAACTAATACAGACCTAAATGCTGTTGAAATATCTTATGTTTGTGATTATTGTTGTAAAGAATTTCGAAGGAAATGTGATTTACAAACACACACTCTTGTACATACGGGTGAAAGACCATATTTTTGCAATATTTGCAAGAAAGGATTCATAACTAGTAGCAAGTTAAAATCACATATAAGAATTCATACAGGTATTAGTCCGTATGTTTGTGACTTTTGTGGTAAAATGTGTATTGCAAATAGTGATTTGAAAGCCCATGTTAGAATTCATACAGGAGAGAAACCATATCTGTGTAAAACATGTGGTAAAGGATTTAGGAGGAGCTGTGATTTACAAACACATGATAGGGTTCATACAGGAGAAAAACCTTATGTTTGTGAATTATGTCATAAATCATTTATAAATAGCAGTAAATTGAAAGCACATGCAAGACTACACACTGGTGAAACGCCATATATATGTGATGTTTGTGGAAAGGTGTGTACTACAGGAAGTGATCTTAAAATACATCATAGGATACATACTGGTGAGAAACCATTTATATGTGATTCTTGTGGGAAAGCATTTAGAAGAAGCTGTGATCTATATACTCATCAAAGAATTCATACTGGAAATAGACCTCATGTATGCACATCTTGTGGAAAAGGATTTATAAATAATAGTAAATTGTTGATACATCAGAGAACACACACTGGAGAAACTCCTTTTGTTTGTGATTTATGTGGTAAAAAGTGCACATCAAATCATGATTTGAAAACCCATCAGAAAATGCATACAGGAGAAAAACCATTTGTATGTGATATATGTCACAAAGGATTTATTAATAGTAGTAAGCTACAGTCTCATCAAAGAACTCATACTGGAGAAAGACCTTATATCTGTGATTCATGTGGGAAAAGCTTTATTCATATCAGTAATCTGAAGATACATAAAAGGATTCACACTGGAGAAAGACCATACATATGCAACACTTGTGGTAAAGGTTTCATTGATAGTGGAAAATTACAGATACATTTAAGAATTCATACAGGTGAACGACCATTTATATGTGATTTTTGTGGGAAAAGTTGTATATCACAAAATGATTTAAAGAATCATCAAAAAATTCACAGCAGTATTAGACCATTTACTTGTGATTTATGCAGTAAAGGATTTATAAGTAATGTTAAATTGCAAATTCATAAAAGAGTACACACTGGAGAGAAGCCATATATCTGTAGTTATTGTAAGAAAGGATTTGTAAGCAGCAGTAGTTTAAAAACACATCAGAAAATTCATACTGGTGAAAAACCATTTCTTTGTGACTTATGTGAAAAAGCATTTACACAGCATGTTCATCTTCAAAATCATGTTAAAAAACATCATAAAGAAACTATTATGACTGAACATGATAATGAAGATATGAGACTACACAAAGATGAATTTTATAAGGAGATTAATTGTAATATATGAACTAAAATAAATAATCTTAACATATCAAGATTTATNACCAGGAACACTCAAAGAAATATTTTGAAAAATTGATATTTAAATATTAAATTAAATTTAATATATTGCAGCAGATAGATTATATTTCTGTTTTGAATTAATTTTTATTTTATGTATTTATATTAAATTTTATTTATATATATAACCTATAATTGTATAATGATATAATGGTCTGTAAAGATTTTGTACTTTCATATTATAATTTATATTTTTACAGAATTAATTTAGATATATTATCAGTTTAATTAGCAAATTTGTTGTTTATTTTGATTATAATTTGTTTACAAGAATAAAACTTTATTCTTAATATATTGTGTTTTCATAAATAATTTTTAATCATTGAAGAAGATTGACGATTTAAAATGAAAAAGAAAATAAAAAAAGACTTTAAATTAGCTTTGAAGTTTCATAAAATGACTGCAAACATGTTTCAAATTATAGAAAAATTTTTTTTTCAAATATTTAGTTCTATGCAAGAAAATGAAAGTTTTGTTTTGTGACAAAATATGATTATATAAAATCTAACCAACAGTCAGTTCAACTGATAATTAGCAGCAAGATTCAATATCTTGTTGAAAATTAGCAGTTGAAATACCAAGTAATTGTGTGACTTAAATCTGATTTGGCAGCTATATGACCAAGCCTTAAAGATACCCGCTTGCTGCTCTATAGTACACAGATATGACTCTAGTTTAGCTTGGAAATTTTTTGGACAGATTAATATGGATATGCTAGGTCCCATCTTTCACATTCAGATGCTCCCATTGTAGACTTAGCTGAGTCAATGGGAGGCATAGGGAAAAAAAGCCTTATGTAGTTTGAAAGAGTTAAATAGATTTTAAAAAAGGAAATCTTGCCACTCAATTTATTAAATAAATAATAATAATAATAAAAGATTATTGTAGTAGTAATGAACTATAAACAATGATTTCTAAGATTTTTAAAAGTGTGTTAAAATTTTAAATTTTTATATTTGTCAAAATAGATCAAAATATCCAAAATTGGTTTACAATTACAAATGTCCACTGGTGGCCAAGTGGGTAACACTGCTGAACATCGGTATTTGCTTGTGGGTTTGTCTTGCCAAGTGCGCTGGCAAGGTGGAATTTTCTGGATTTTCTTCACAATTGAAACACTAGATAAGGGCCAGTTTCCCATAAAAGTTGTCCTGGGAGTCTACCCCCTTGGTAGATTGCCCACGTGTTGTGTTGCCATAAACAAGTAAACCTAAACCAAACTACAGTAACAAATCCAATGAATACCATTTCTGGTTGAGATATTGTTAGATACACTAAATTTTAGATGATGAAAAGATTTGTTTATTCTTTGTTATTTTTTTATTCTTTTATAGCTACTTTTTTGCTATTTGGACAGACTTATCCTACCACAATTTTTTGAAAAATTTTTACTTTGTTTTTTCTTTTCTATTTTTTATTAGACTTTTGATCTCCAAAATGTACTGTACATTTTGGGTTTTTCTACCCTTCTTCAGTTGGAGTTTTACAATTTTATAAGGTATATTCTTTCATTAGACAGTATGTTCTTCATTTTTAACAGTATACACTTGGAGTTTTCAATTTCTAACAAGGATTACAATTTTTCAGAGGGTACTGACTAAAATTATATCTAAATATATAAAATTACTTGTCCTGACTGACTGACTGAGTGATTGATTCATCATCGCCCAGAGCAAACCGCTGAACCGAGGTGAAATTTTGTACACAGTTATGGTACGTCATGAAAACGTACACTAAGAAGGGATTTTTCGAAATTCCTCTACGGGGGAGAGGGAAAGGATTAAGGCTTAACCCAAAGAATGGCTT